CCCCCCCAAAAAAAAATAATTAAAAATTCACTGTACCCAATTATAGATAAAAGATTTCATCCTAAAATGAGCATACATTCGTTCATGACTCTGTGAATTCGCACTTCCACCTTAATCAGAGGTAGCAGTGCAACATTAACTCAACATACACTACAGTATTTATCATGTTGTTTCTTTTAAGGCAGAGCAAGAGCATGATACATTAAGTTAAAAGTCGTGAAGGCTTATACAGCACTGTCTTTAAAGTTCAATGAAATGAATAATTCATTACTTTGGTGACCAAGTCCAGTGCAAGCTACAAACAGATCTTGCAAGTTTCTCTCCCCCTCCTCCCTCACATACGAGTAGTGGCATGGTGGCGGGCTAGAGGAATTGGCCTCGCGGGTCGTTGTTTGGTGACTTGTGCCATACCGAGTGAAGCGCCCCATTAGCGTTTTTAGTATTTATTATCATGCTGGAGTGCAATGTGGATGAACCTAATTCAAATCCGCACTGGTGCTTTACTAAACTTTGGTGTTTGGGAATTTTCAAGGTTCTCCACCAACTTTCTATCTGAAATAAGGTTAATTTTGGATGTCCTGTTATGTATTAATACATTTTAGAAAGTGTTGTTAGACCCAACTTATACAATGAAAATATTTTTATTTGTTCCTTTTTACTGGCCCTGGTTAGAATTCCCGAAGGGTTTCTGGAGCTGATTTGTTTTGGGGGATATTTTTACAGCTATCCAACAATTTGGTTCCGTCTTATCTGAGACGGACGTTAAATTCGAAAGTCCCGCCTCTTAGATAACCTTCCAATGTTTAAAAGGGCTTTAGACAATGGCAGTAACAATGTCTCTATAAATCCAAATTACAAGAGTGCACAATCTAAAAAAATATTGGCGCACTCCTAGTCGATACGAGTTCATAAAACTGTGTCGAGACACGATAATAATACCTCGTGACAACTGAAAATAAGATGACATTTTGTCTCTGAGGTCAATCAAAGTCTTTAGATTTGAGTAGAAAAACGCACCGGAATACACTAGTAGCCGGTATGTAGAGAAGCCTTCGCTCACGGCAACATCTGACTTGTCAGATGGAATTAAATTTCTTTTTGAAAGTACTTTTTTACGCCACCATCGACTCAACTTAGTTAAGTAGGCAGCACTCCGACCCTACGAGTCAGGCAGAACCAACACGGCCTGAGAGAGAAACAACGTCTCAGCAGGAAGACTGAGATACTCGATAAAAATTCTGCCCACTCGGGATTCGAACTCGGTCCCCTGCGTGAGATAGAGAAGAGACTTGCCGTCACACCACAGAAGCCTGTTCGTCAAATGGCAGCTGTTTTTCTTCCTGCTATCTAGTTTTGTAATAGTAATATAATAATAATAATAATAATAATAATAATAATAATAATAATAATAATAATAATAATAATAATAATAATAACAACAATATTATTGTGTAGCCACACGGTGCAATTAGGTACTTATCAAGTTTCGGGCATAATATGGTATTATTGGTATACTCTATTGCTTGTTTATGTCTTGCTTTCGACGAAAAAGTACCCATCTATCTTCTTCAATAAAAGTCGAGATATTATTGCGGATTGAAGGAGGTGAGGTTTACCTGGTTTAAGAGGTACATGTATAATTGTTGAGAAAATGGCCGCCAAAGTTTAGTGACTTCCAAAGCTTGAGAGTCCTTGGAAACTTTAAATTAAAATTATGTTTGCCTTTAACTTACGTTTTTCAATAAAATCTACAAAAATGTAGAAATTCGATAAAGATTGCCAAGCGGGAAGAAAATTGCCGTTTTCTTCGATTTCATTATTTTGACGAGCGCCCTATTTCACCTCGATGCCTCACATAATAATATAAAATATCTTGTGCATCATGAACTGCTGATGACCTCCTGCAGTCCAAGGAGGAAGAGAAAGTTTAGACCTTGCCGGCTACTGCAAGCCTTATATTGACAACAACGCCATAGTTTGCCAAAGATAGCATCGTCTTTCCCTTTCTTAAAGTGGTGTGCATGTCTGTCTAAACATAATGGTTAGTTGGTCAAACCTTCTCATGGCTTCGCTTGTGACCTTCAAGCGGTATTCTTTTAAAGAGGGACTTTCTACAAACAGAGCACTTAAGATCTGTTGGTCCAGTGTCGATGTCAAGATTTGACTGTCTTGAATATCTTGCTTCTCTGACTGTCTCTGCTTTAAGCTACCAGCTCGAGTTTTCTGAAAAACTTTGCTGCCTATGCTAACCCTATCCGTACGCCCTGGGGTCATTTTGTACTCCCGGGGTTGTAATCTTCACATTTTTAGAATACTTCAAGTACGAAGATCTCTTTGAAACTTTCAGTATTTCTCAAAAAATCATTTTGACAGACTGCTATGCAAAGCATACGGATTGGATTAACGAGTAAATTTCTTCTTTGGAAAGTGGTGGAACAGAGTTCCCTACGTCGTATGGATACAATAGTAAAACACGACGTACTGATAAGGTAGTTAATGTGAAGGATTTACGCCACTGTAATCGTTCAATACAGGGGGTTCCCATTCGTCCAATATCGTCTTCTGAGAGTCTTTATGTCTCCTTTTTTCTAGAAAGAGGAAGGGGGGGGGGGCATAATTTGGGCGTAACTTTAAAGACATAAACAATTTTTTAGATACGATATTTTAAAGTCCATCAGAAGTTTTTTACCCACATATTCAAAATGGCGTTTGGCTGAGTTTTATACAAAGCAGTCAACGTGCAAAGAAGCAACTAGGCAAATAAAACAAATGTGCAATGAAAACATAAAGCTTCCAACTGAAAGCTCTGTCAGTTCTGTCGCGCGCTATCAATAAATAGAGCGAGGTCATTCACCAACGCTTGAAGACACGCTGTTTTGGATGGGGCACTTGCCAAAAAAAAAAAAAAAAAAAAAAAAAAAATAGAATCACAACTTTGCTATTTATATGGTATTTTATTTTTACAATTCTGTTTACTCTGTCTGGAACTTTAAAAGGCAGACATCAACATGCGTACAACGAAACATGCAAAATCGTGTTTCTGGTTTGTGTAAGGTTGTTCGAGGTGTGCCTCAACATTCTGTCTGCTGGCCGGACATAATTACGTGTCCTTTACGTTCCTAAAGAGTTAATGCATAGGTTGGTATTTGACTGTTCGTGGATATTAGTCCATATAATTACCTGGGTCCGATCTGGGGTGAACTATTAAAAGAACGTGTGCTAATGACGTCTCGTGTGGAGACACAGACGACAGAGTTTTCTACGCTTTTCTATTTCTTTGCTTACGTTGGCAGAGCTTGCATTTCCTAACTAAAACTATGGGACGCCCCGACAGCTCAGTTGGTTTTAATGCTAGACTACTGTGCTGATGACCCAGGTTCGAATCTCAGACTGGGTGTTACTGAACTCGAGTCGGTTTTGTTGAGTTTTCAGGGCTCTCAACTCATTTGGATAGGTCATATCGGAGACGGACGTGAAATTCTGAGTCCCCGCCTCTTATATAACCTAAAGGTTTTGATAAAGGGTGTTGTACTCATACATTTACTCACTCACTTATTTATTAACAACGACTATAATCTGTATATTATTATGAAAACCTCGTCACAAATAGCTTTTTATCGAAAAGTAA